TAAAATACATGAGGCAACAGATACATTTTACTTATACAGCCCACCCATGAGGTGTTTTTTGGCTCAATGTCATGGGATAAATCTTGGAGTTTTGGAAATATCTTTTCATATGTGATAAAACCCTATACCATAACCCTGTGGAACCCGTTTAGACTGTTCTAAAATAATTTAAAGTTATCATAAAATGCCCCACTATAGTTTAATACCCTGTAGATCAGGTCTTGAAAAAGCCGCTTGCCCGCTTGCCAAATGCGAGGAGAAATTCCTCTGTGGTGAGTGGCTGCGAGCGGCGAGCACACATGAAGAAGCATGGAGCGACTGCACATGCGCTCCAAGCCTCATTATGAAGCCGAGTTCCGGTTTACAACTTCCGGTTTCCGCGGCATCACCATTACAGTGGCAGCGCCGCTGAGGGGACACATGCAGGAGAGGTCCGCTCTCCTACGCTGAGATGTGGCACCCTCTCCACTGCTGTGGGGGACTCGTGGCCCACTCTCCACCGCCGTGGGGGACACGAGGCCCACTCTCAACCGCCCTTGGGGGACATGAGGCCCGCTCTACACCTCCTTGGGGGACATGAGGCCCGCTCTCCACTGCCTTGGGGGACACGAGGCCCTCTCTACACCTCCTTGGGGGACACGTGGCCCACTCTCCACTGCCTTGGGAGACACGAGGCCCGCTCTACACCACCTTGGGGGACACAAGGCCCGCTCTACACAGCCTTGGGGGACACGAGTAAGGTTTGTGCCTGGCTAGTAGGTCTGGACTCAAAATTTTAACCCCTACATAGATAATATCACAGTATCATAGTGATTAAATGGTCAAATCCCACTGGTGTGTGGGCGCCTTCAAGGTTAAGGGCTAGAGCTAGAAAACAGGATAAGAATTATGGAACAGTTCTGGATTTAAATCTTTTTATTTTTTTAATATATTTCATTGTTTAATATTTCTTTGGATAATTATAATACAAATGGCCAATGCAATAATTATAAAGAAGCATAAAATACACCAGTGTGTCAATTCCACTCCATTTTTTTGAAAGCAAGGCTCTGTACCAGAGTGTGATTAACAGCGGCATCTACCAGTGAGAATCCACAGAAAGACAAATATAACATGTTCTGGTTGTGCAGGTATTAAAAGAATTTTTGTCACAGAATATAAACAAACATGTTAGAAGTTAAAACAAGCCAAAAATGCAGGCCTAGGAAAACTGACCTGTCCTCCATGCTGAGAAGGCATGCAAAATGTAGGTGCCTGGAGGACGTTGACAATTATCACCCACTCTCACCCCCATAGTGACCTTGACCACTTTTCTTTGAAAAAAAAAAAATGTATCATTTACAGATATGTTACAGTAAATGTTCATATACAACTTTCCAATAAAGAATGTCGACAGTTGTCTTGGGTTTAAGTTTCTTATTATTACGGAGCAATCTTCAAATTTTCTTCCATGAAAATGTAAGTATACGTCAATTGTTTTTCCAGGTGCACTGAAGCAATTGTTAGTATAATAGTAACTGATATACATTGCTCAAAAAAAATTAAAGGAACACTTTGAAAACACATCAGATTTCAATGGGGAAAAATATCATGCTGGATATCTATACTGATATGGACTGGGTAATGTGTTAGGAGCGTAAGGATGTCACATAGTTTGATAGAAATGAAAATTATTGACCTACAGAGGACTGAATTCAAAGAAACATCAAAAATCAAAGTGAAAAAAGGATGCAGCAGGCTACTCCATTTTACTAAAATTTCATTGCAGCAACTCAAAATGGTACTGTATAGCCCCCATGTTCTTGTATGTAAACCTGACAACGTCAGGGCATGCTCCTAATGAGACGACAGATAGTGTCCTGGGGCATTTCCTCCCAGCTCTGGACCAGGGCATCACTGAGCTCCTGGACAATCTGAAGTACAACCTAGTGGCGCCGGATGGACCGAAACATGATATCCCAGAGGTGTTCTATTGGATTTAGCTCAGACAAGCATGGGGGCCATTTAATGATATCAATACTTTCATCTTCCAGGAACTGTCTGCAAACTCCCACCACATAAGGCTGGGCATTGTCGTGCACCACCCAGGACCCACTGCACAAGTGTAGGGTCTGACAATGGGTCCAAGGATTTCATCCAGATACCTAATGGCAGTCAGGGTACCATTGTTTAGCCTGTAGAGGTCTCTGCATCCTTAATAGATATGCCTTCCCAGACCATCACTGATCCATCATCAAAATGGTCATGCTGAACAATGTTACAGGCGGCATAATGTTCTACATGGCTTCTAAAGACCCTTTCCCGTCTGTCACAAGTGCTCAGGATGAATCTGCTCTCCTCTGTGAAAAGCACAGGGTACCAGTGGCGAACCTTCCAATTCAGGTGTTCAGTGGCAAATGCCAATCAAGCTCTATGGTGCCAGGCAGTAAGCACAGGGGCCACTAGAGGATGTTGAGCCCTCAAGCCACCTTCATGATGTCTGTTTCTGATTGTTTGGTCAGAGACATTCACACCAGTAGCCTGCTGGAAGTCATTTTGTAGAGCTCTGGCAGTGCTCTTCCTGTTCCTCCTTGCACAAAGAAGCAGATACTGGTCTTGCTGATGGGTTAAGGACCTTTTACGGCTCTGTCCAGATTTCTTAGAGTAACTACCTGTCTCCTGGAATCTCCTCCATACTTTGAGACTGTGCTGGGAGACACAGCAAACCTTCTGGCAATGGCACATATTGATGTGCCATCCTGGAGGAGTTGGACTGCCTGTGCAACCTCTGTAGGGACTAGGTATCGCATCATGCTACCAATAGTGGCACTGACCCTAGCCCAATGCAAAACTAGTGAAAAACAGTCAGAAAAGATGAGCAGGGAAAAAAATGTCAGTGGCCTCCACCTGTAAAATCATTCCTGTTTTGAGGATCGTCTAATTGTTGCCCATATAGTGCACCTGTTGTTAATTTCATTAACACCAAAGCAGCTCAAACTGATTAACAACCCTCTCTGATACTTAACTGACCAGTTCAATATCCCAGGAGTTTAATTGACTTGATGCTATACTCTAATTAAAAAGTGTTCTTTTAATTTTTTTGAGCAGTGTATATGCCCCTTAAAATAAACATCCCTCCTATCTAATAAAGTTAGAACAATCCCTTAATGATTTGTTTGCGAGCACGAGTAATAAGTAAATGTTCTTGCTATAATTATATCATAATTAATTATTAACCACTTCAGTCCCAAAGTCATTCCCATCTTCCCATCATTAAGGCCTACAGCATTTTTTTATATTTTGTAGATTTGTTGGTCTACTGTAAGGTTTCATGCATCTTTTCAAGATAGAAATAGATTAAATATTGCAGCAACCCTAGTTGCCAGCAGACAAGATCACCCTTCTAGGTGGATTTCTGTGTGCGGTCACAGGTCAGCATACAGTCTTGCACATCTACTTAGAAAAGGTGAACATGCTCATCCGGGTGCTCAGGATCTTTCATGTGCACAATTGCAATCTAGTACATGCACATATTTCATTAATGTTAGCACCAGGCAGGCTTTTTAAACTGGGCCAGTGCTCAGATTTAGTGCTCGCTCATCTACAGTTTTCCTGTGTGATCTGTGAATCATTACCTGCATCTGATACCAGTTACTGACCATCCCTTGAGCTCTCCCTGCCACTAACTCTGGCTTGCTTCCTGATCTCTGCTTTTGCCTGCTGCTGTTGCCACTGTACTGCTGATCCAATACCAACTCTGGCCTGCATCCTGACCATGCTCCTGTCTACATACTTGTTACCTGATCTGATAACCAGTCTCTGACCTCACATACCTGACTCCACTATTCCTTTACCCACTCTCTGGCAATCTCCTTTAAGCACCTATATGCTACCTGCAAGTATTTGCTCATCATCTGCTCGCTGACCAGCCAGCACCTGCTCATCATTTGCCTTCTACAAGCCAGTGCTTGCTCACTACCTGACTGCAACTAGCCAGTACTTGCTCTTCACCTGTCTGCAGCCAGCCAGGACCTGCCACTTCCAGTCTGCTACTCCAGTCTGCCATCAACCAGCCAGCCTATTCCACTGTAGTTCACTGTCGGCTTCCTTCTGCTCGAGGTTGAACACCCTGCTTAGCTCTGCTGCTAGTTACATCAACTGTCACTCATGCCAATCTGTGATCTTGTGCCACCTGTTCATTCTATCAGGAACTGTGAACCAGAGGTGTCAGAATGGCCTTTGTCCTTGCAACAGGCTCCTCCACCAGGTATGTGACAGTTGCATCCTAGGTTGCCTTCCTAGGTTATAGTTGATGCAAAATATACACTTTCTTCAATTTTTTTCCAGTACAATTTTTGGGTAATATGTGCAGCCCCAGATATATACCCTGATATGTATTTGAAAAAGACTTTTGATGTCACATTTTTGATATCACATATGAAACACTTAGCACAATTCACATAACCCTGGACACTATTTAATAATATTTGAATTTGCAGAATTTCCATGGAAAAAAAAATGTTTTTTTTTCAGCTTACAGTGCACAGACAACTAATCTATTGATAAGTAAATGCAAAACTAAAAATGCAGTATAGATATTGCACACATCAAATGGTAAACATGCATTGTACACGTGCAGCACAAGCATAAAGCAATCCACTTATTAAGTGCCTGACTAGGCATTTCAAGATATTTTTTATTGTAATTCATAAAGTTTAACAGATGTGTCTGAGCAAACCTTATACTACAGTATATACACAAAGTATATGCAAACTGGTTGTTGTATATCTTTTTTAGATTCCTGAGACCCACATTTACTGACATTGTACAAACTATGGAATATAAATTCAAGTTACTTTTTCTGAGGCATTAAAAAGCCAGGTAGGATGTAAATTGCTATATTAATAACCCCGCATTTAAAATAAGCAACCACTATATTTATAACAAACTACAAAATAAAGTAGCAAAAGCATTAACATGGATTCATGACATATAATAACCAGGGACGGACTGACAACTCATGGGGCCCCTGGGCAATAAGGGATCATGGGGCCCCTGTGTCCTTGCCCAAACTCAAAAAAGCCTATGAAAAAGGCACCAGAGGCATCTCATGGGGCCCCCTACTGACCCTGGGCCCTCGGGCAGTGCCCGAGTTTCCAAATGGTCAGTCCGCCACTGATAATAACAATGGCATAGAAATTACATGCTTGAAAATGCCACAGATCAGATCATTGGACAAACTAAAGTGTATGTAAAGACAAAACTTTGTTTTAGATGTGTAAAGCTTAGAACCCCTGTCTTGTATTTATTTCTGTCCATGAAAGGTAGATTCATTTTTACTATTGGGCCTAGTGACCATTGTACAGAAAGTGATGAGAAATACATTACTGAACTGTCACAGGAACAAAAAATGAGAGGTAGGAATGAGCTTTAGGCATCATTATCTCTACAGTAGTGCAACCGCTAAATAACAGATCCCAGGCTGATTTGATACAGAGGACAGCTGGCCAAGGATCCGGCATTTTGCAGCAGTAGTACAACTATTAAGTTCAATATCAGTGGAGGGTGCTCATTGGGATTGATGCTGGGTGAGGTGACCTTTTTCAATTCAGGACTTTTTCAATGTAATTGTTTTTATTTATTTATAGATTTATAATGTATTTACTTTATTTTTTGGGGTTTTTTTTGTTAATGAGTGTGGGTGGGGGCAAATATCTGCAGGCCACCTTACTTTAACCACTTGACAACCAGGCTATAGTCAAATTACATCTTCCCCAAATACACCCTCCCGCACGCCCCCAGTGGTGGGCACCCAGCGATCTCTGTGATTTCTGTGTCCTATGGACACAGCTGATCACATGATGTGGTAAAAGGCCAATCACAGTGGCCTTTTACCACGTGATCAGCTGTGTCCAATGACACAGCAGATCACCAGGTAAATGCAGTTGCTGGTTGTCGACTGCACTTTCCTCACGCTGTCACAGCATGAGGAAATTACTGCCAATAACCAGAAAATTGTCAGAACACAGATCAGCACTGATCATCAGGGCACTGATGATCAGTGTCCAGCAGTGACACCCACCAGTGCCACCCACATGTGCCCAGCAGTGCCACTTAAAAGTGCCAAGCAGTTCCACCCACCTGTGCTCATCAGTGTCACCCATATGTGCCCATCAGTGCCTAGCAGTGCCACCCACCTGTGCCCAGAAGCACCACCCACCAGTGCCCAACAGTGCCCCCATCAGTGCCACCCATCAGAGCTGCCCAGCAGTGCCACCCATCAGTGCTCAGCAGTGCCTCCAGTCAGTGCCCAGCAGTGCAGTCAGTCATTGTCACACATCAGTGCCCATCAGTGCTGCCAATTAGTGCCACCTATCAGTGTCCATCAGTGCTGCCTATCAGTGCCATCATTGCTGCATATCAGTGCAGCAGCATCAGTGCCAGCTCATCAGTGCCGCCTATCAGTGCCCATCAGTGCTGCCTATCCATGCCACCTCATCAGTGCCACCTATCAGTGGCCATCAGTGCTGTCTATCAGTGCAGCCTCATCAATGCACATCAGTGAAGGAGATACATTACCTGTTTTTGCTCTTTTTTTGTTTATAGCACAAAAAATAAAACACCCAGTGGTGATTAAATACCACCAAAAGACATTTCTATTTGTGTGAAAAAAATTATAAAAAACTTCATTTGGGTACAGTGTTGCATGACCACGCAATTTTTTTTTTCTAAGTGAAAATTGGTCTGGGCACTGAAGGGTGTAAGCTGTACAAAAAGGGGGTTCCAGGGCAGGAATCTGGTTCAGGGTGTAAAGGTACTGGGACACAAAGTTTTGCAAGAGAGGAAGGCTTTGGCTTTTTCTTTCCCTTCTAGTAAGGTATCCCTTAAATGTTAAAGACATGTGGGCTAGTAGGATTCAAGGAGGATCTTCAAGGGGCTCACTGTTCCCTTTCTTGGCCAGCCAAGCTGCATGATTTGATAGGGGTCCTTTATGAATTGTTATGAATACCATGCCGGTATTTGTGAAATTCCTTAACTATGCCCCAGTTAAGCTCATCACTAGTGAAGGGTACCTTCCAATGGGCAAACGTGCTCCAGCAAAAACTCTTCAAAAGGGGATTTTTTCTTGCTTCTGGGATATGTCTAAGGATTCAGATATTTTCACCTCATTGCAGTGCTTTGTTGTTATGTCACACATTAATGTGCATTTCATTTTTTGAAGGGGCTATCAATTTGCACAATGGACCAAAAGAGGACATGCACCATTTTTCATTACGCAGAACAAGGTAGCAAATCGCCTGCAATGCAGTGCACTGCAAGATTGGTATGCTCCCTTGCATAGTACATTAGGTTGGCTTTGAAAATATTCGGAATTGTCATGCATGCATTTGCACAATGCATAAGTGTGAATGGGTCTTCAACTTTTCTCTGCTCAAACCAAAACTAAAAAGAAAATGCTTAGTCTACTTACAACCCTGATTCATTTTTGGTGAAGGCTTACACTTTCCTATATTGAACATACAGTCTTGGAAAACAGAATGTACTGATAACCCAATGGTGACAGTAACTGTAACCTGATCTCTATTTACAGCCTGTATGGGCAAAAGCTGTAAATACATTGTATGATCTCAGTTCCCGTAGTCTTTAGCACTGCTTTAGAATAGTGGGAAAGCAGGCAACTACATGACATCATTGTGCAAAACATAACCATCTTAATGCAAAAAAGTGCCTTTGAAATGTTAATGATGGGCTGCTAACTTTTTTTATATGTATATAATTCAGAAACTGGAGTGTGCAGCTCTTTGTTAAAGCCACTGGCAGAAAACCAGAGTTCATCTAAAAAGATGCCAAAATGCCTGACATTTTTATTCCCACTACCCGGAAAACATGCTGTTCCTTATAATATAGAGTATATTAGAATTATGATTTGTGAATGTGTTGTATAATGTATTCCATCTGCTGAACATAAAAACGTAACATTATATCAAGAAATATTTTGTACTCTTATGATAAAAAGTTCTCTTAATAAAGAAAAGGGAAACAAGTTCATTATTATGAAATTAAGAAGATATTGTATCATAAAATGTGCATCAAGGCAAAGTTGCTAGTTCTTATAAAGGCATAGAGTATTGTCAATGATGCATTTCTGGTTTTGTTGTATGCTTACTTGAAGAAGTAGAAACTGCAAGCCAATTCTTGATGCAAATGGTTAATGTATGCAGGAGTGCAAAAACCACTTTATATTCCAAATTTAAAAATACACAGAATATTGGGAAAGTAAGTCAGCTATGACTGTTTCACTCAGGAAATACCAAATAAAAGTAAAGAAGGGAAGATGGAATGGAAAGCAGGTGTCTCAAGAGAGAAACTGTGCTTGGCTGCAAAATATGACTATATTTTTTATATCAATGTAAAATATATAACTATAAATGCTATAGTCAGAGCTAGTCTGAGGCCATGGGTTTTATGATAAAAAAAAGGGCTAGTCAGAAAGATATGAACATTTCCCTATAAGAGTGAATAAAGTGAACTAAAAGTAAAGTTTACTTAAACAATTTAACTTGTGCAAGCAAAAATCATGTTTTTTTCCCTTACACATAAGTATTTAAAGCAAACAACCCTTCACCATACTGTATATATTAAGTGAATAATCAGTTTACAAAATAAAGATTCTTATCTTCAATAAAGTGTTTCCTAACTTTAAGTTGCTTAAGTTTTTTTTTTTTTTTAAACAAATTTCCAGATTAAAAAGGTATTGCAAAAGCTGCTCTGAGCCACATTGAAATGTTAAGTGACAGTAACTGTGGTGGGTTTGGAGGGTGATTGTGATGGTATTGCAGGCTGAAGTGACAACCAAGGTCCTGCACTCAGCCCAGGAAGCTAATTTATGAAATCCCAGGCTTCATTCTAATACAGAGTGCCCTCTGTTAATCAATGCAATTGCAGTATTGCCACATCATGGTTACACGGGAAGTCTAAAAGAAGTCATTTGGATTTCCTGTTCACAGTAGTGGTCATTTTGGATCATGGTAGTACTGCTTTATGTCAGCCCCAGTAATTTTTGCAGCAATAAATTAATGCAGCATTAAGTTACTGATGTACTATATTGACAAGCAAAAGATCAGTATTATAAGCATTATGAAGAATTAAGGGAGCAGTCAAAAAAAATACTTTGAATTACATTAAATGCAATTTATATCCCAAAATGCAATTAATCTCCAAGCTAGAGAAAAATTGGACAAGCTTTTGTATAGTAATTTAGCATTTTTTGCGATTGCAATAAAAAACATTGTTGCTCTAATTCCAATCCTAATAAACCTGACTACTTATCTGAATGAAACAAAAATGGTTAACAATTATCATGAACAGGGCAAAAAAAAAAAATCTCTTCTACTTTGATGTTGAGTTTTACCATTATTATTATGCAGGATTTATATAGTGCCAACAGTTTGTGCAGCACTTTACAAAATGAGGGCAGACAGTACAGTTACAATGCAATTCAATATACGGAGGAATCACAGGGCCCTGCTCCTTAGAGCTTACAATCTAAAACGGAGTTTCAAGTGATACAAAAAGGTAATAACTGTGGACGATGAGCTGAAGGAGAAATTGGAAATACAGTTGTTAGATAGAGATGAGATGGGCTTCTCTGAAAAGTAGGGTTTTCAGGGATCACCTAAAAGTGACAGAGTAGGAGACAGCTGTACAGATTGGGGTAGGGTGTTCCATAGGATGGTAGAGACTAGAGAAAAGTTCTGGAGCTGAGCATGAGACGTGGTGACCAGGGAGCTAGAGAGCAGCAGGTCTTGGGAGGAATGAAGAGAATAATTTGATTGGTATTTTGAGACTAGGTTAGTGATGTAGTTGGGGGCCGAGTCGTGGATGGCTTTTTAAGGCATTGTTAGTATTTTGAATTTTTTAGCTGTTCAGTGAGTGGCAGGCAATGGAGGGATTGGCAGAGAGGGGTAAAAGACACTGAACTGTTGTTAGGTTAAATGGCAGCAGCATTCATAATGGACTGAAGGGTGTATAACCTATGTAAAGATATTCTAATGAGGGTGGTGCAGTAGTCGACATGAAAGATAACCAGGGCGTGAACTAGGAGCTTTGTGGTGTCATTGGTTACGAAGGGTCATATTTTGGAGATGTTTGGGAGGTTAAGGTGGCAAGCTTTGGACAGTGATTGGAAGTGGCCATTAAAAAAAAAACAAATGGAAAATCTATTTCTTCTCACCTTCTGTCTCATTTCAGCCTACAAAGCAAGAATATACGTTTTTATTTTGGCTATTAAAGCCCAGTCTCCAAAAATGATTCTATGTTAGGACTGACTGCAAAGGTTAATATTTATTTAACACAAAATTCACATCACCTAAAAACATTCCAATAGGAGGAAAGGCAATGGTCTGGAAGTGTTCAAAATGTCTACAGTGTTTCATATTTTAAATACATTTTTGTAAACCCATGAGCAAAAATGTAGTATTTTGCACTTACCAGGCCCTATCTACTTCTGGTCCTTGAGTGGCAATGCTCACTCACTGTACTGTATCTATGGAATGGCAGCATTATCACTTTAGGCTGGGTGCTCCTGATATCCACTACAAAATGCCTCATGGGTAGTCCACCCCCTTTGGTAGTCCATAGATCAAAACTGGATAGGGCTGATAGAATTGCTTGAGATTTCAGTGCAACAGAAGAACAGTACCGGTATACAGTAAGTTATAAAGATATTGCATTTTTGGCAGCATCAACTGGTATTTTTATCATTTAGCAAACAGAGCTCAGAGACAATGAGAACAGAGAGAGAGACACTGCTTTTATGCACAGCTCTGGATCAAGGTCAGGGTCAGGTAAGTATAAGAGGGGCTGGGGGGGAGAGCTGCATGCAGAAGGTTTTTGTACCTTAATGCAGAGAATGCATTAAGGTAGAAACCTTCTGCCTTTAGAACCACTTTAATTGTTAGGGTTTACATACTGTACACTTTTAGTTTTATAGTTATATAT